CAATTAAATCCACTAGCGATTCATTAGACATAATGTTGGCCCGTTAGTTTCATTTATGATGACGTTAAAGCTAGGTTAGTATGACAAAGCAGAGATTCACGATTGCATATGGATACTCAAAAGATAAGTACGTATTGTTGACATTCATCAATTTGTAGTTTCAGTTTGTATCTTGAAAAAAACAGGACTGTTTAATTGGCAGCACAAAATGTTCCAAAGGTGATCTGCTGACTCCCACGGAACACTGAGGACATCAATATTCTATTATCTCACTTATATGCTATGTCACAACGGTTGGTGTTGCCGCTGCTATTTTTTTAATCATACCAACTGTTATATATAAATGTGAACTTTTCACTACCGTTGTACTGTTCAGGTAAAATATACCACTGCATCAGCTTTGATTGCAAAGAAGAGTTTATTGGACATGACGTATTCTCCCTTCTATTTTTTTCGATTTTGTTTCTGTGCCTGTGAAATTCCCAGTATGGCAACATTGATTTTAGTGTAGGCTTTGTAATGCAAAGATTCCCAGTACGACCCCAGTAGTTTTCTTGTTTCCTTTTTTTATTCCATTTTCAATCTCTCCAATTTCGAATAACTTCAATTCTGTCAAATGCAAGGCAACATATGATTTCTCGGAAATATATCTTTTGGAAATAATCGAATATTTTACAATGCTGTCATTTATAATATATTGGAGTTCATCCTGTCGGTACCATTTACCTTAACTAGCTTTTGAGTGGCTTTATCATCCGATGCCATCGTCGTCATGTTTTATAAGCAGTTGCTATGACGTAAATATACCAAAAACACTTTATTCGAGTACCTTCCAAGAAAAACACAAGATGAATATATTTTTGTAATTCTATGTATTGTCAGAAATATCAAATTTCACATTAACAATGAAATAAAACATAAGCTGATAAAATTCACAATAAATTTGATCACTCTCGACGGAATTGTATGGGTAAAATGTAACGTAAAATTTAAATAGAACTAAAAGTCTACATATCAGGTGTATACATAAATACAATAAATACTGTCAAAGTGGAAATTTTCGCGTGTGGAAATGTTCGCGTTGTGATCGTTTAAACTGATCTTGTGAATATTTTTTTTTCAACGAGAAAAACGCAGTGCGGAAATTACCACTTTTATAATATGTCATTTGGCAAAAATTATAAATGAAATAACATACAAGTAACAGGTGTAAACAGAAAAGGGCTTTGTCTTACAATAAATAAGGTGATACATTTCTATAGGTCTACGGACTGATAAAATGAAATAACATACAAGTACCAGGTGTAAACAGAAAAGGACTTTTTCTAACAATAAATAAGGTGATACATTTCTATAGGTATACGGGACTGATAAAATGAAATAACATACAAGTTCCAGGTGTAAACAGAAAAGGACTTTGTCTAACAATAAATAGGGTGATCCATTTCTATAGGTCTACGGGACTGATAAAATGAAATAACATGCGAGTTCCAGGTGTAATCAGAAAAGGACTTTGTCTAACAATAAATAAGCTGATACATTTCTATAGGTCTACGGGACTGATTAAACGAAATAACATGCAACTACCAGGTGTAAACAGAAAAGGACTTTGTCTGACAATAAATAAGGTGATACATTTCCATAGGTCTACGGGACTGATAAAATGAAATAAAATGCAAGTTCCAGGTGTAATCAGAAAAGGACTTTGTCTAACAATAAATAAGGTGATACCTTTCTATAGGTCTACGGGACTGATAAAATGAAATAAAATGCAAGTTCCAGGTGTAATCAGAAAAGGACTTTGTCTAACAATAAATAAGCTGATACATTTCTATAGGTCTACGGGACTGATAAAATAAAATAACATACAAGTACCAGGTGTAAACAGAAAAGGACTTTGTCTAACAATAAATAAGGTGATACATTTCCATAGGTCTACGGGACTGATAAAATGAAATAACATGCAAGTTCCAGGTGTAATCAGAAAAGGACTTTGTCTAACAATAAATAAGGTGATACATTTCTATAGGTCTACGGGACTGATTAAATGAAATAACATGCAACTACCAGGTGTAAACAGAAAAGGACTTTGTCTAACAATAAATAAGGTGATACATTTTCAAAGGTCTACGGGACTAATAAAATGAAATAACATGCAAGTACCAGGTGTAAACAGAAAAGGACTTTGTCTAACAATAAATAAGGTGAGACATTTATATAGGTCTACGGGACTGATAAAATGAAATAACGTACAAGTAATAGGTGTAAACAGAAAAGGACTTTGTCTAACAATAAATAAGGTGAGACATTTATATAGGTCTACGGGACTGATAAAATGAAATAACATGCAAGTTCCAGGTGTAATCAGAAAAGGACTTTGTCTAACAATAAATAAGGTGATATATTTCTATAGGTCTACGGGACTGATAAAATGAAATAACGTACAAGTAACCGGTGTAAACAGAAAAGGACTTTGTCTAACAATAAATAAGGTGAGACATTTATATAGGTCTACGGGACTGATAAAATGAAATAACATGCAAGTACCAGGTGTAAACAGAAAAGGACTTTGTCTAACAATAAATAAGGTGATACATTTATATAGGTCTACGGGACTGATAAAATGAAATAACATACAAGTAACAGGTGTAAACAGAAAAGGACTTTGTCTAACAATAAATAAGGGGATACATTTCTATAGGTCTACGGGACTGATAAAATGAAATAACGTACAAGTAACAGGTGTAAACAGAAAAGGACTTTGTCTAACAATAAATAAGGTGATACATTTCTAAAGGTCTACGGGACTGTCAATCAGGTGTGAGATAACACAGACAGCATTGACTACAGAGCATTTATGTTTGCATGAACGTGTTGACGTAATTATAGATTTTGTATCTATATTTATAATTTTGCTGATAGTTCCTATACTACACACTTCCAGGAGAATCGCGCTTTGTCCTTTTGCTGTGTCTTCTTCTTTGCCTCGAATAACGTGATTTGTTTGGAAGAAGCAAACACTAAGGTGAAGTTTGGCTGTTTTTGGGATATCAATTAACTAAAAATACAGATACTTTATCACTGACCTTTACAAGATTATTAGCGACTTTGAATTAATGACTTGAATTGGATTTCTTAAAACATTGAGTCCGGTATTAAAGTAAATCGATAACTTGAATACTTAATTTGAGGTCCTAGGAGACTCTATGCAATATAATTGTATGCATGCACAGATAAGCGTTCAAAACGACATGGAATGTAATATTTAGTTACGTTCAATCCCAATATTTTAATTTATGATAGTGGATCAATTGGTACCCTGTACGCAACCATCTGGGACAATAAGATTGGATTCAAGTTATATAATTCTTGTAAATCAAATTAAGTTTAAATTTCGAAAAGTTAAACAAGTAAATAAATTGAATAAATGATTAAAAGGGCAACCTCAATAAAATTGAATCGTCTAAGTTTTCGAGGCATTATGTAAATATCCTATTGATAATTATCTGTTGAAAATTGTAAACAAACTGTCAAATATATAGACTGAAATGTAATATTTAAACAAATTGATAGTAACAAGCGAATACGAGGTGAATGCAGGATTGTTTAACACCTTCTCCAAGTGTGAATAAAATAATGTCTAAAATTTTACCAATAATAGTATTATTAACATGTGTACTTTTACATATTTCACCAAATATGTCATGTCACGTTTTCTTGTGAAGTAACATATACAGTTAATCGTTGTTTAGACGTTTAAAATCTAATAAAAATAAACCAAACCCTGGTAAAATGTTACCATACCCATGTTTTTGTAATTATAAATATTTCAATTCCTACTCAAGTTGGACTTAATGAAACTACCAAATGTAACCTGTTTTATTTGCCGATGAATTTGACCATATTGACATTGCCTGTGCGTATGATTTTGCGAAGGGAGATAACTATTGATATGTTTAAACAAAGATATCCCATTTTTATTGAAGCAACACAAGAAGTTGTTCAAACAACTAAAAATGATAAATCATCAAAATATTATGAGCTCACGGTTTCCAACAGTAGTGACAAGTCATGTTCTGCCCTAGAAATTCTCCCTCCAGCTACCCATTCTGCCTTGTGTAAGAAACGTAGATCTACAGGGGTTCGGTACAAATGTCTGAAATACACATATCATGCTATAATTGATATGGGTCACAGCACACATAAACATATAAATGTATGTTTATGTTTGCTGTGACCCATATCAGTATAGCATATGTGTATAAATGTATGCGTATGTCTGATGTTACCCATATCAGTATAGCATGTGCATTTCAAACATTTGTAACGAACCCATGTGGTAGATCCACGTGGTCCCGTCTTATATGAAATACAGTCGAACAGCTAAATGTCATATCAAATGTTTCATCCGTTCAAGCCACGTCTGAGTTCCTGTCTAATTAAACATTTAATTACTGTAGCTTCACATTCCAGAAGATGTAGAATGTCGCAATTTAGCGGATCTCAACTTCGAGCTAGTAAAAAGATGGCTGCCATAGACTCGCAGCTGAGCTTGTGCACCACGTCTAGGCATTATTCTTCCGCGATGACTCATCAGAAAATTTGATATCTTATGAATTCACAAATAAAAATTAAATATGACATTTCAAATATGGTTATGTGTTTTGTTTCTACATAATTTGGCTATATTGAACTATCAACGTACACCATTATGTTGTATGATGGTCCTTCAATGACGGACTATATTTTTCACATTACGTCGATACGTAGACTTGCACAAGCTCCAGAACTGGGGACAAACGATCAGAATGGACTTGACAAGTTCCACATATTGAAAAAAACACGATTGAAATATAAGGATTAAATCTTACTTTGGTCGATTTCATGGGGTGATGAATTGAGTTGGTCTTGAAACAAAATCAACCTGAACTGCTTTGCAGTACTTTAAATTTGTTTCAAGACCAACTCAATTCATCACACCATGGAATCGACCAAAGCAACATTCAATTTCTAAATGATATGATGCATTATTTCACTTAGCAAACATTTAAAGAACATGTTTTCCGGTATATTCCTTCAGGGTGTGCTTAATATTTTGTAATGCTATACAGATATGATTATTAATTTAAATCAATTGTGGGATTGCAATCGATGCTGTTGAAACAAATACTGAAGCAATATCCGACCTAACGTAAAACTACTCTAAACTTTATCACACGTCGCTAAGAGCTCTCATGCCACAAAAGACGGAACGCAGAACACGTCAGTACAACGCATGCGTATTCTATGACAAACATTTATAACCGACGAATACGAGTACAGATCAATCACAGTTATGTCGATGATGACAATATGACGTAGTGATCACTATGACGTAAGCGGCGTAACTAAATTTGTTGTTTGAAAACTATGTATTATGCATATATATGATGGGAAGGTCAGCTTCCTTCTGCCCTTGACAAACTAGAAACAGCCGCAGCACATGCAACATAATACTACACAAAACAGTCCTCTTTCGGATACGACTGAACCTTTTGCGAACGGATCCGGAATTAATCCGGAATCAGGAAAACAAGGAATTTTACAATTCCGAATAGAAAATCCAGAATGTTGAATGTCTGGACCAGCTAACGGAGTATGGACTCATATTTGTATAACTATATCTGTCGATATGAGTAAACAATATATCAACAACTCAAAGTTTTATCACGAACACTCCTGAAATGTACTCTGAAGGTCATGTAATCAAAATAGTTTCTTCCTTTAGGGATAGAGTTTGAACTTTCCAGTACACTGATAACGTTTTCTAGATAAACACTTGCTAAACAATTTGACATGTCTAAGGTCGACATGACGTTGTTTTGCCTGTTTTATTCACCATTACATCATGTTCTAGCTCGGGAAAACATTGTACTGTTTGTTTAATTACCAGATATGGTATTTCCTAGGTAGGAGCCATGTTGTTTTCTCTGTAAGATTAACCACAACTACATGCCCAAGCGAAGGGAACCCTTGTCTTCACGTTTTCGTGGCAGAATTTCCTAGTTAGGGAAATGTTGTTTGTCATGTCAATTACCCTCTGTGGTATGCCCTAACTAGGAAACATTGTTTGTAAATTTGTTACTCTCTGAGGAAAATCTTTTCTTTTTCATTTCCCTTCGTGGTATGTGCTTTCTAAAGAAAACGTTATTTGTTCTGTTCAATTTCTTATTTCAGCACACCCTAGCTAGGAAAACCATTGTTTTGTCCGTTCATTTACCCAAAGAAGCATCAACCAATTGAGGAAACTAATTTTTGATCCTTTCCATTACCGATTGAGGCATCCCCTGGCTAGAATTAACGTTGGTTATCACCTTAATTAATTGATTGAGGAAAGGACAACGTTTCATTGTTTGTTCAATTCACCCCTTATGGTTTACAGAAGCAAAAAGAAGTATAGTTTTGTTCGTATGAATCACCGAGGTGGCATACCCTAGCCAAGGATAACGTTATTTTCTTCCGTATAAATAACGTTTGTCGTATGTCCTAGAGAAAGACGACGCCGTTTGTTTTTCTCATTATGGCATGCCAAAGCTCGGGATAACACTTTGGCGCGCAATAACGCCGTTATTTCCTTATGCTGAGCCAGTATTGTCACTGCTTCGTTACGTCATAAAGAGTATGTATGTTTAATACCACATAGTCTAACAACAGCTTCAGAGCATATTTTCTGTTTCCTCGGGCTGGTGCTCAATGGTTGGCGTATTCCATGGACTTCCTTGGCGGGCACCGTTGTTTTTCGGAGACAGGTGTCCGTTTGTCAACACTATGCCTTCTTTTGGCCCTATGCTAGTGTCGTTTGCCCAGCCAATGGTGGATTTTGTATAGCGAGCACTAAGGGAACGCGAGTCCTGGTACACACTGAATTTTTTTTTTAACACTGCCTTGACCTGAAGAATAAATAGGAAGTTGATTAATGTTACAATCGGCTTTTATCGGTGATATGACACAGATACCCATTTAATATTACTACCCATGTCTAAATGTCAGGGGTTATCAATCTATTTCCAAAAATTCAAACCTTTTTCACGATATTTCCTTCATTTAAAAAGGAAGTTTCGGGCCTTCAAACCTCGGGGCAGAAATATTTCTTAGCATTGACCAAAAAGGATGATGACCATCTATGAGACGGACGTTTGTAGGTCAGCTTTTTATAGAGGCTCAACTATGACGTCACAAAGAATAACTTCATTAGACAGCAAAAATATCTCCAAAGTACAACCATACTTCAAAGCTGTAAGATAAACGTAATGATTACGGGATCCAGATCGTAACATCTACCTGTCTGGTAGATCATCTATTTTTTGTTAATTATTTACCCTAGTTTTATCGATTTGAGATCGAATTAAAGTTTTGTAAGCTTCGCTATTATTCTTCAGTGCTCTGACATTTTTGTCGTTTTATTGTGTACGTCAGTTATACTTATTGTACTGACCTTTTGTGTTCCCACCAGGGGCCAGTAACACTATACAACTAATGCTCTGCGATATGCGGATGTAATTGTTGAACCAGTACGAACGTTTATAGGGACACTTGTGTTTTGAATCAATGTCTAAAAGTGCACACTTATTGCATAAATTTTATGATACACATTTTTAATACCAGAATTCTCTTGTATAATACTCACCTCTCCATTCAGGAAGCAATAGAAAAGGGCCACGAAGAAACCCTAGAAAAACAAATGAAATAATGAAAAATAAATATGACAATACTTCCTCTATCATCATCGAGGTTTCAACGATCATAACTTAAAGCACTTGATTTCATGCAGCTCTGATCTAAAGAGTTCTACTTCGTGTATTTATAACTTCGGAATAGGAAACGTGACATACATAGCCTCTATAAGTACACGTAACCGACAAACACAAACACTTAAACATGTTCCTTCTACTTAGGTTCCATCACGGCTGAGACATGCATGTGTTTTACAAAGCTATCGTAGTATAAGATGCAAAGGCTGTCGACCACAGACTGTCTATACGCTCGCTTTACTACTTGTTTTGCGCTAAAATCATATTTTTATTTACACTTGCACACCGCTATGAATACACTAATTCACTTAAACTGACACATATACTTTAGTTTTATATTAAACAGATATCGAATCACAACATAGGCTTATCAAGCATAACATTATATTGTATTAACGACATTTTAAATAAACTGTATCTGAAAGTGATATTATTTAATTCCAAAACATAATCCACGTCTTAATTGATTTTTTAATCCAGAATCTGTTCTTAGCATGACCGTTGTATAGATGGCTGCCACTAATATAACGTAGCCACAATTCACCATTCCTGCAATTTGGGGATACAGAAAAAATAAACCCACTGCAAGTATCGTTAGTTGCACCCCCTGCAGAATTTGGGATTTGCTAATGTGCCATTTACTTGGGAACACAAAAGCGACCATTGCAATATTTGGAAATTATTTATTTCTCTATTTATTGCCTTGCTTGGGAATACCTCTTTGGCTTTAATGTTGAAGTATCGCCCAGGTTAGGAAGGCTATGAGTTCTGTCGCCATGCCGGGACATACCAAAGTCCTTACAAATGGTAGTTGTTATTCCCAACCTAACGTTTATCATTTAAGGTAATGACAATAACTGGTTCACCCGTAATCGGCAACATAATCGGCATCAGATCAACACTTTACAAAACACACATTGGGGCACTTCCTTATATTTAAATGACCTTAGCTGATGATAGGACGTTAAACCCTATACAACCAAAACAAAACAACTGCTGAAATTACAGACATCATAGTCTGCCTTGGATTATTGGAGACAAATATTTTTGTTATCATTATTTGAAGGAGGTTCATCGTACGTCTACCTTTGTTTCGTGCTTTTAGTTTCCCTTTGTTGTGTTTTCATGTGGAAATTGATTTTAAATTGTGTTGTTTGTTACAATAATTATATCGTTTTTCTATTTATTTGATTAAATGCTGATAATGTAAAATCGTAGCGTTTTTTTATGTTAAATTAAGTAACTAAAACTTTGTTTTTTAAGTAACTAAAACGTTGTTTTTTAAGGAACTAAAACTTTGTTTCTTAAGTAACTAAAACGTTGTTTTTTAAGTAACTAACTTCAACCATTATAGTTATTAATGGCACATCGATTGTAATGTAAGATTACTTGACCACACATATATATAATATGTCACGTGCTCAAATGCCACCTCGCTTAACGCAAACAGTTTTATGGTATTTTTTTTGACAATTTCTAGCATTTTCAATAATGATAATTATTCGAGGTTCTTATATACCGCTTTATCACAATCTAGTTCGTAGGTCGTCTCAAAGCGGTTCTCAAATTATTATCCGTAGTTATAGGGCCTTTGCAACAAGTCAATATCTTTCTCAACTCCATGGGGAGCATACAGCCGGTGCTGCCATTTCGGCGCTCACAGCTAGCATTCAACAATTCTAGCACTGCCCAACCACGTACTCATTTACAGCTGAGTAGACTGGAACAAGCGGAGTAAAGTATTGTGTTCAAAGATACAACACAGTGCCGTGCCGTGACTCGAACACGCAACTTTTCGGTCACGAGCCCGGCGTCCTTCCACTAGACTACCATACCTCCTATGTACATTGTCAAAGCTTCTGTAATACCCCACTTTCGCTGGACAAACGCTGGTAGGTAAGAATACTACCTACATGTATCTAAACCATTTTGCAATACGTACTTCATTTGGAACAAAACAAAACCTGTTGTTGTTCTTTGTAATTAGTCAACACCAGTGTTCTCTTTTTAAAACAAAACACGTTCTGAAAACGGCGATTTGGCCTCTAAGACTAACTTCCCCTATCGTTTCTGTCTAATTGAAATAAGCAGTTGATCCACGTACTTGGAATGATTGCAACACAGCGTTGATGAACTCGTGAGCTTCGATGACAGCAGGGGCATCGCTTATCGGCCAGATGAAGAGGACGTATATGATACCCAGTAACGGAAACAGAAGGAGGGTGGCCTTCACGGCTTTCCTGGAAAGAACACAAATGGCGTCAAAAAATGGCGTCAAAGAAGAAAACAAATGTAGCCAAAAAACACCAGCCAGAAAGGAAACATTACCGTTTACTTTACCTGCATTTATTTCCACAATTGATCCACTTGAAAACACCTCTGTATCATTTTTTTTTGATAATAACTACATATTCAAAAACAAATTTCATCTCACAATATTAGATTTACGGAACAGAAAGGAGTCTGTCAATATGCATCATTAATTAATAGACCTAGTCTCACTTACCATTCCAATCGTGACAATTATTCTTATTTTTAACATACAATTATCAGGTTTTAAACTCGACCTACATACTATATTGATGTAACAAGTGTAATATTGTGTGTTAATGAAACAAATCATTATAATAGGCTTTGTATCACCTGTGTACAATTAGTAGGTATCAAAGTCAACAACATATTTTTGCGCTATAAATATGAAGACTAATCATAAGCTTGCGAAATATATTTTTTTTCCAATATATCTACCACTTGGAAATCAGTGCATGCTATAAATTAAGCCCCAAAAAAAAAATATCTATTTATAGATATGATGTAATTAATCATAATATACACATACTTTACGTATAAGCTACAATTGTTAATCTGATAGCAACAAATGAATGAATAATAAATAATTTTGAATCAATAACAATCTGTCAATGAATGCGGATGGTGATATTAACGGGTATAATCACATTGATGTGGAACCAAATGACCATTGATTACATTTGCTCAAACATTGTATAACAGCATACAGCATATAGGTAATAAGTTAACATGATATACCATTATAAATGAGCTTACCGTAACTGCCGCGTTTCCAAACTATGCGAAGCTCGTAGTTTCGTTACCAATACCCATATGATTGTAGCTAAAAACAGCATGTTTGTCTGAAAGAGAAATGCACAGTTTATTTTTTGTGCACAATGAAACGTTTGCTTGAAACATAACTCATAATATGTCTATAGCAGTATTAAGATGAGCCGATCATATATACTTTCATGAATCTATATAGCATTCATATATAGCGTAGTTTATGTCGTTTTACTTTTTTAATTATTAACACGGAGAGGTCAAAGAAAAACAGTTAAGTTCATGAGTAAGAAATTGCTATCAAACAGTTTCATATCATACTGCTATAAATATGGTAATCTGTTCTCAAAATGAAAAAAAAGAATGGCTCAAATATTACTGGAAACAGTTGGTTACAATCCCAACCATCTAGAAATATGTCATATTAGCTAATAATGTATGTTAGCTTTGCAGCCAAATAAAGGTGTTGACCCTATCTCGACCTTATTCTTGAAGTTGACTTCAAAATAAGAGGGAAATATCTCTTGATTTTATTACAGCATTTTGAGGCACATTTATACGTTCATGGATGCTGGATGAAAGATTTGGAGTTAATATCAGTTATGGAAATGAGTGACACAGGAAGACACTTAGGCGATGAATGAAATATGAAAATATTCCAGAGCAAGGGCGTGTTTAAGGTTGATATAGTAATATATATCCACTTACAGCAAGAACAAAGAGTATTGGACCATTGTAAATCCAGTCTAACTGGTCAACGTAAGCAGCACTGCCATTTGTTGACATCCAGCACCTGCAACAGGATACATAGATCAGTAAGTCTCTCATACAGACACGAAAACAGAAAACATAGTTTAATAAGTCTCTCATAGGGACACGAAAACAGGATACAGAAAACTTACATTTTGACAGGTTTTAAAGCCAAAATGTAGAGGGCTTAATCAAATGGAGACAGTCATTTTGTTGCGCCATTCACAAATTATGACGTCACGTAATTGTCCATATTATGACGTCACAATGGATGTCTGACTGGCACAGCCAATGAAAAACGCTCCAGGGTATATTACACTAGTGAAATATCTAAAAATATTACACGGGCAAATGCACTGGATAACAGGCCGATTATGTGATAAAGATACATATTTCAGCACCTCTCTCATACAGATATTACAACTGCATAAATTGTTTCGATACTCTTTAAAACGGATGATTCACGAAATATAGAAATATATTTTGTGCAATCCATGAGTGGTGGAGTTGATTAATATGTTGATCCAATGAGTTTGATGAATTATAACTCTGTTATCTCGAATTCATATTTGATACAGACAGGTGCAATGGTACTCACGCTAGTAAATGAGATTTGTCGTCTAAATTGTGTTGAAAATGGATTCTAAGTGAAACCCAGATAACAATGATTATGGCTGGTATCCCTGTGAAATTAAATAGTTTATAGATAACAATGATTATGGCTGGTATACCTGTGAAATAAAATAGTTTATAGATAACAATGATTATGGCTGGGATCCCTGTGAAATTAAATAGTTTATAGATAACAATGATTATGGCTGGGATACCTGTGAAATTAAATAGTTAATAGATAACAATGATTATGGCTGGTATACCTGTGAAATAAAATAGTTTATACATGTATGCAATATTAGTTAATATTGTCAATACAAAACTACAACCAATAATACAAATTATTAATTAAGATGTATCAATATTAGAAAATCAAAAATAACAAAATATTGCATTCTTCAACCAACCAATCGACCAACCAATTGATACGTTATTTAACTGTCGTCGATGGCATTCAACTATCAAAACATTGTCTTAGCTATCGAAACTTTTATGGTTTTATGGAAAGGGTAAAAACATGAGTGTAATCCAAAGGATTTCTGTAGAAAACATGTTTCAGACATCTACCAAAACAACCAATGTTCTTTGCAACAATTACAGAAACCGTGTCAAATACAGTGGATTACCTTTGCAATATTATCAAAAAGCCAAAACGGTACCCATTGCTCCTTTGTTATATATTTTGTTTTCATTAAGTTATTTATTAAATATAATTTTACATTTTGTTGAAGTTTTGACATGGCCATGAATGTTCTTAGTTAACATAATTTTGAATTTTGCTTAACTCCGACTTCATAACCTCGACATGGACAGAAATCGTACTTGGTTAAAATAAAATATACCCGATGAAAATGTCACATTCAATTAAAAACTGGTTGCCATCTTGAGGTGGGAACCTTCCCAGAAAAAAAGCGACAAATTGTGGAACAACAGTTGGTATGAAATTATTTAGCTTACTGCCAATAGTTTGATTAATATTCGCTTATTAAAACGTGAGAAACAGTAATAAATATATAATCCGATCCGAATTACATGGGGTCACGTTAGAGTCGTAATGAACCTAAAAGACAATCAACTTTTGTCGAGTTTGAATATAACCTGTAATACAAATTTTATGATCTCCTTTGGTTGAAAATATGTTGTTGATAAACGCCATATTTGCTATGAGCCATTGATTTACTCAAAATATCATGAAAATCTGAAACGAAGTTGGAGGACTTACCCCAGCCAATGACCATGAAGTACCAGAGTTTGATTTTGTCCGCGGAGTAAGTCCATACAATGATGATATGAAGGTACATTCCTTCAACCAACATCCAAAAGAAGTTTGTCATCTGTACATAATTAAAGATTGATGTTTCCAGCTTGCACGCCCACTGTAAAAACCAACGTTATATTATGTTTAAGCAGTCTAAATGACGAAAACTAATGTGTTTCCATATACTGGATAGCGGGAGCCTGAAACACTGTTGAAATTTCGCCCTTCTCTCGTAAAACCAATATTTGCCTGGTGTTAATTTTCTGTGTAACTGCTAAATATGTATATTCGGAGTCAATATTAAATAGCCCTTAATACGAAGAACGTAAAAGGCGAAAAGTAAATTCCGGCGAGTTTTTTCCAGTAAACAATAAGTAAAAAGGGCATTACTTTTAATCATCGACAATCTCCAACATTTTCAAAAATGACAATCAAACATGATTCTTTATGTCTTTTATGAGTTCGCATTTCTATAATTTTGAAATTGCTAAAGGCTAAACCTATTTATAACATATATTTTTTTCAAAATTGCATGTTATTGTATTATATTTACATTTGCATGGCATTGTCACTATATAGCCTCTTTGAAAGCTGTGTCATTGATGGCAAATTAATTACCATGCAGCACGAGACACAATTCTTAGCGTATTATTACAACACTGACCGGAACTACAATATCCAATGTAAATAAATATGACGGCTGCTGATATATCGCTGGGCATTATGAGACTTGACAATGTCATTGTAAATTTATGTGCAAAAGAAAAAAAAAGAAAAGAAAAAATACTTTTATTACAACAAAAACAAGACCAAGGTCTGCATTATCGTACAAAATGCACATCGGTTGAAATCACCAATGCCGGCAATGGAATTTTTTTTAACACTCATGCAATTTATCAGAAACATCGTCTGTTACACTGCACTGATCAACAGGTTTTCGTTACAAATGTCTGAAATAGACTTTTTCTATAGACCTACTGACACATATGTTACAGACCTACTGATACGAGTCACAGCACACATAAACATTTCCGACATTTGTAACGAACCCCTGTGCTCCGTCGCAAGATCACTCACTTCAAACGATATCAGTTTCACGCGTCTCGCAGCCACGGTTTCCTCAGTTTCTGATCACGACATGTCAAATAACGAATCTACCGACTGTAGTAAGATTCCCATACAATCAACAAATAAATTCACGTCTGGATTCTTCACAAAATGAGCAAAAAGAAACTCGAATTAACTTCCAAAAATAACTCCCTCGTGGAGGTCAAGGTCGAATTCACGGTGTTCACTGTATTTATCCATGCGCGAAATTTGTTCCGGGGAAAAATCACAACAATTTAAAATCTAACTTTCAAAAATTGAAGTGTTTGTTAACTTTGTTTGCCAATCAGCAGGCGACAATACGCTGTTCAAATTATTGAACGAAATTGTGTGGACTGTCGATAAGGCGCGCATTTTTAATTTTAAACATAAATTATAAATTAAAAAAGAACGTAAGAGGCAGAGAAAACGTAAATATAAGTACTGAACTGTTTTTGTATGGTATTTATAATCTATTTGCGCGCATTATGTTGTTTGCTTGCAAAGCTGTGTCATTCAAATAGATCATAAATACCATACAAAAACAGTTCAATGCTTAATTATCAGTGTTTCACTATATACAAAAACAAGACGATGGTTCAACCGCAATATTATATATTTTGTGTTATATGAATTATATACTTTTTTAACCTACTCGTGTCTATGACGATTTGTATTTCATGATTAAATGTGATTGTAAATTAGGTAACATCGTTAACCTTGGTCTACTAGAGTAGTAATAAAAATTCCCATTTCTCACGTATACAATACCTTGTGATCGGTAGAGACAATTGGTATAAGAGTATGCTGCATAAGAATCCACAGTAAGTTCCGCAGGATAAATGTGATAATGAGCTGACAATGTATCTTGTTCCGCAAACAACGCAGACTCCTGAAATACACAAACATGTTTATTTAACAAATGCAAAGCATGCATACACTTGGTTGATCATATAAGTGAAATATGGTCATTAAAATATGTAACTAGCACAGCAAGAACCTCCACGTCTACACTCAAGGCCAAAACAAGAACGTCAAACCACAGGGCCAGAACAAGAACGTCATCTCACAGGGCCAAAGCAAGAACGTCAACTCACAGGGCCAAAACAAGAACGTCAACTCACAGGGCCAAAACAAAAACGTCAACTCACAGGGCCAAAACAAGAACGTAGTTTACTTACACCATGTATATCGCTATGGAAATTGTATAAACTTGTATTGATCATCACAGGATTCCGCTATAACAAAATCACACACAAAAAAGTTTATCCTTATCCTAGTCTGATCAGATAAAACCGTAACAGAATGCCACGTTGTCCTGTCTGAGCTCGTCTTGGACGATATGTCAGGATTGGGATCAATGTAACAAAACCGTTACGTCATTTATCTCTGTGTACCGCAAAAGTTTAACTGGGCACAAACGGATTACGTCCCTGGTATGTGTGTACTACAGGAGACAAATTACAACACACGGTTTGAGTACAAAAAACAGAAAGCCATAAAGCCTTCGCCAGTAACCTTCTTTAAAAACTGACGTTTATAACTGTAAAACAATACGTATTATTTGTAAGTAAAAATAATTACTCCTTCAAGCTCAATTTATTTTAAAATAAATATTTATATGATATAATGAACGTTTAAAATTCTTTTTAGACAATCTTAATTTATTTCTTAAGCAATAAATGTCTCCCTCTAATTCTATTAAATTTAAAAAGATATAACTACTACAATATATGAACATTTACAATTTAGTTCTGACAATCTGGTTATCTATTTTGAAAATTAATACAAGGATGTTGTTTTATTCAAAAACATAAAATTAAATGTACAAACATGTATATACGTACATCGAAATCAGTTACCCAATGAACCCATAAAGTGCCAACAACTCTGTTTCGTTTGTTGATTTAGTTTTCATTGTACCGATCACCTGGACATTTTATGATATATGTCTATGAAATTTAAAGGTTGGACTTATGAAGAAATATTTATACATTTTTGTTCTGTAATAAAATGCTAGTTTTATCATAACGAAATTGCTTTCGGGGAGAATTAATAAATCACATTTATATCGCGTCAGCATTGCAATTTATCAGACATCAATAACGCGCCACTACATACACTTGACATATTAACAAATTAGCGACAGCGACACTCAAAGGCAATAAGGAATGCGGTGTGTATGACGCGACAGCATCTGAATGAAGACATATAATTCAATTTGCATCTTTCGTGAGTGTCTCGTGAAGCATTACGTTAATAGATAGACTGACTTCAGACTGACTGACAACGCAAATACTGACCGTTAAGATCTGTGTCCAGCCTGGTCAATATTATACAAGCTCTTATATAATGAATGCAATCACGATCGTCCCGAGCCGACAAAATAATAATGTTTCTCAGAAAAAAAACCCGTCAATACCTAACAAGGACTTTGATAATGAATGCAATCATGACCGTCCCGTGCAAAATGATCGTAATATATATTTGTTTCTTCTTCTTTTAGTAAATGCTGTCTGGATCAGGAAAATGAGTGACCATCGTGATAGAGACAGGGAAGATCATCTTGAAAGGACCTTCAATTCTAATCCGTATTCACTTTAAATACCAATCGATGGTCACAATGTACAGGGTTGCTATATGTGGTGCAGGCAAATCATGTCATTTCCGGTTCCGGTTCCGTCTTCGATATTACTTTTTATTCATATTTTTTCATATTTTTAATCGCCTTTATATATTTTTTTCGGTTTCAAATTTACATAGTGAAAAGTCACTGGTAAAATATGTAATATCAAATTCTTTCTAAGAAGGGAATCTGTCTGACCTTGAACCATTGGAATATATTTTTGCTATTTCAGCAGCTATTTCTCTGCGGCTCTTAATCTTAGTTGATTGTAAATTGCACCATGACAGAGGTCCCTAAAACTATCCCTGCAGTCACAAATACCGCTAAAAGAAGTTACGATAGTATTCTACGTCCCACATATCTAACTTCATGTCAATATTAAAATATCGACCAGGCCGGTTCAATGGCGGCTTTTTTCTAACCAATCATGCGTTTTCATATTTCCACCGTATAATGATAAATCCTTAAAAATGATTTTTTAATTTCACGTGATAATAATAAGACGGGGCTAATTCGTGACGAGTTTCGCCATTCTCATTTGAAACAAAAACAAGAGTACATGTATATACAAAAATTTACGAACAAAAGCGTTTTCTGACTAGCGTCAATTTTAACGCCTACATCATGTTTTGTTTTATTAATGTGACGTCATAAAATCATGACCTAAAGTCGTTGTCAAAACTCTGACGTCATCTGGGTTAGAAACAATGGCCGTTTATATTGCAGGGGTGTATTCTTTGCATAACAGGGGAGAATATTTGTTAAATTAATTTGCTATCGACGGATTAAGTATTACTAGCTTGATTAGACACGTTATCTACTTGTTCGTTCAGTTACATTGCGGGCTTTAATTGTCTTTATTAATAAATCACCTAGTTATCGCGTGACCCTTGTATGTCCCATACAGTTTCGCAATAGCAAAAGCTCTGACTTCAAATTGCCAGGAAAGGTAACCATGACATAAACAAACCTAATTGTTTCCTCTCAATGGTTATGTAGTCTGGAGACAAGCACAAGCGGATACCAGAAGTTACGTAGCGGGTTGTGAATACTGCACAAAAAGAAAGAGTCAATCAAAAACCAAACGCGCACCAATTAAGATTGTACACTCGGGTTCACACAAGGAAAGAATTTCGACAGATATTCTTGGGGGAACAGCCTGAAACAGACGCTGGTAATCGCTATATCCTAGTAGTCAGTGACTACTATAAAACATAGACCGAAAGCGTTGCCATGCCAAACATGGAGGCACGAACTGTGACTAGCATAATTGTTGAGGAAGTTTTTGCGCGGTTTGGAGTACCTCGGTACATGCATTCGGACCAAGGGAAGCAATTTAAAGGGAAGCTATTCACAGAGATGTGCCAATTTATATACATGAACAAGACAAGGACTACGCCCTACGCCCCTCAGTCGGACGGAATGGTAGAGCGCTTCAGAAAAACATTGGCAACAATGCTCAGCGCTTACGTCAACGAGCACCATTCGGACTGGGACACATATGGTCTTCTCAGCAAAAGACAATAGGGTACACGCCCACTAAGCCTCTGCTCGGTCGTGAAGTTGCTACGACCTTGGACTTGATGTACGTAATGCCCCGATTCGCCAAGACCATCTTTCAACAACAGTGGGTATTGTTGGCCGTAAACATACGCAGTGCTCAACTACATGTAGCGCTAAACATGACATGTGAGCAGTAGTCAGGCAGGGGATAGCAAGTACGCTGTGAGTGCCGGTACGCTGCTCTTTCACCTGCCAGTGTGCGAGGATCGCCACTGCACAGTAGTAGCCAGTGCGTTGCCCGAGAAGATAAGCCAGTGCGCGAGGTTAGCCACTGCGCAATAGTTGGGCATGAGTAAAGCTTGTGTACATTTATTAAGTCGTTTTTGGGTTTTGTAGAGTGTCGTGGCAGGTAGCCCGACACTGTGTCGCTACCTTTGTTTTATGATTTTTTTTAATTTTTTTTTTTGGGATTCCCTGCATGAGAATAATTTGTAAATATTACTAATTCTTGTCTCATTCAGATAGGGTCTGCAGTGGTCTAATTATTTAATGTTAGGTCGCATCTAAGTTAGTGCGCCACAGCTACCAGGGTCAATCCACCGTTATATGCACAGCATATCCCGATAGACATTTGGGACGGACCAGATAGGTGCATGTACCGACCACGGTGCACGTTACAGACTCAACAATGCAGAAGATTAACATTTAGTTTTTTCGAGAAACGTCAATATTAAATTTGTGTGTAGTTGGTTCAATAAAAAATAATTTCGATTATTTCTAAAGATTTGAAACAAATCTGAAAATTGTAATTTTTGAAGGAATTGCATTTTTTCGTCACTTAATTTGGTCACTTACCTGAAGTATAAGAAGATAAACAGGGCGATGCCGAGTGTGAGAGTAGAACTAATAAATCCAAGATTATATATAATACGTTTGGCATAGTCCGAATCCAGTTCCTGTGAAAATAAGAACGTTTATTATTTTTCCCATATTATTCCCTTATTGCCGATTGGCAAGAAATGCATCACGTGTCCACCGATAAAAACCAAAATTAACTTGGAGTGCGTGACTTTTGTTGAAAGTTTGGGTGTTTCTAGCAATAGGATAATGACGTGTCTCAAAACGAACGCACCGCCCAGCTCCCGTAACGTTTTTGTTGTGCTTTGTTTCAGATTGCTTACATTTCTGGTTTTGAAAGTAAAAAAACAATTGAAGCCTTTAACGTAGGTCAATACCTGGATTTATCGACCCGAGATATATTAACCTTGGATTGCGTCCTAGGTAAATTTATCGATTCTCGGGTCGATAAATCTAGGTATCGACCTCAGCCAAAGGCTATAAATGGAATGATATAAATTATGTTCATATAATTATTTAAAACCAATGCAATTTATTGAGTTGAGTAAATGCAGTTAATATCATAATAAGAGAAATACGAAAACAAGTATTTGATAATTGAATAATTCGATACAGAGAACCATCTAAAGAACAGCTTTACTGCATCATATTGTGCATCGTCCATTTAGGGCTCAATAGATGTCCTAAAGATAAAAAGAGTGAATATCCATGTCAGTGTGTCTCTATATCGTAAAAAATATCAAAAACAGAATACTGCCGATAAGACCGCTTGTAAATTTATAAATTGACTGCAACAGATAATTTAACCGTAAACAAGCATTTCGCCGTGCTGCCGAAGTAAATATAAATTCCAGCTACAAGATTATGTCCAACCTCGTGAGAAATGGTTCAGTGTATGCTACTACAGTACATACAAATTACATAAAGGTGACACTTCCGGTACGAGGAGTAAGAATTATCTCCCATGATGCACTGTAGAAGCGTGACAGAATTGATAATTAAGGCTGTCAATAATGAAATAATACAAAAATCATTATACATAAAAATATCAAAATGAGCCTTTATCTGAACTAAAAAAATAATCTTATTATACATTCGGTTGCTAATTCAATCCAAAACAAAATAAATCCTACCTTGGAGGTCCAATCGTCCTCCGGGTGATTAGACAGAGCAGCTATACAGTTGTTGTAGTTGGCCAACCTCTCCCATGAACCGTTAGCTTGACAAAACTTACTGGCATTTTCTGAAATGACAAAAATTGTTATTCAGCTGAAAACGATCTTTTAAATAAAGATTGAAACTATTTTTCCCGGTTATTTATAATTTTTTCATATCATATTTGGCGAGTACTGACACAATATTTGTTTTGCTACTGTATAGCAGAGAACGTTTTACTCGTTTACTTTTATTTTTACATTTTTCACATGATTCATAATCCACGACAGACAAGTGATACATGTATTAGGCAAAGCAGTCTAACTAATTGGTCCTTGATACCCATAGCGATCAACAAAATGAATAGCTATTCATCTCTGACAACATCCTATAGAATGTAAATAATAAATGTTATAGTACTTGAACCTGCATTTTATGAATTATTTAGACCTATATCATGGTAAACAGTCAAGCCGCAATAACCTGCCAGCTTCGCTCGAACTAAACCGGATGTTGGCATGGCAGAGAGATACAATCTGATTAGTAGTGGCAGAATTAACGAGATTCGATTGTAGCGTATTATGGCATTCAGCACATTTCATTATTCAATTGCTTTTGTTTTACAATTTTGATTCACATGGTTAATTTCTGATTTGTTTTTAAGTTGTCACAGTTTTTATGTTGTTCGTAGAGGTTCAATACTATATAGGTATTTTTTTAAATGAAGTGGTTCAATACAGGTTGTGCGATACGCGGGAAGTCAATCGTTGCATATCAACATACTACTAATAATAATGATTCGAGATTCTTATATACGGCTTTGTCACAACCTAGTTCGTAGGTCGTCTCAAATCAGTTCACAAATTATTATCCGTGATTATAGGACCTTTGCAACCAGCCAATATATTTCTCAACTCCCAAGAGAGCATACAGCCGGAGCTGCCATTTCGGCGCTAACAGCTAGCATTCAACAATTCTAGCACTGCCCAATTACGTACTCATTTACAGCTGAGTAGACTGGAACAAGCGGAGTTAAGTATCTTGCTCAAAGATACAAAAACAGTGTCGTGCAGTGACTCGAACCCGCAAACATTCGGTCACGAGCCCGGCGTCCTACCACTAGACTACCGTGCCCCCAACATAACGTGTATTACACATGCTTATCTCAACTGTGCATTACAGATAAAGTGTGTACAAACTTGTGTATGTAGGTAATGAATGATCAACGTTATCATCAATATCTTTATTAAAAATTAATTACAAACACAATGTTTTTCAACGTACACTAAAATCCCCCAGTAGATAAAAACATAATTCTAATTTGTAGTAGTTTGTTTGCAAAGAGGGAACATTTATCAAGAATGAAATATAGCCGTTAATTTGGAAATATCACCTTCTAAATGTATACGATGACTATCATTTTCACTGATTGATCTGACACTTTGCCTTCTGGTCTGAAATTTCTAAATTGACAATTCATTTATTTAGTTTGTATTGTTTTACGGCCCATCGACAATTTGAGTCATTTAGGGCCAAACAACGATGTAAAAATAGACATTCACAAAAAAACTGAAACATCAAAACCAGAAACAAAAGGTTAAAATGTGTAAAGATGTCAAAATATATCAATAGCAAACGAATTATTGATAAAATATATCATATCTTATTATACAGATTAATTGAATGTAGGTAATCATAGAGTGATTGCACAGAAACTGTATCGAATAAATGTATTGAGGTTAAGTGATGCCTTAGCAGCTCTATCGACTTTTTCATTTCCATTTATTCCGACGAAGCCAGGAACCAAGTCGTGATCAGTTGACAGAAAACTAAAATGACAAACAGGATTTTAAGTTAAAAATGTTGATGTATATCATCGGGTACGATACAATTTTGTACAAGCAGAACACATTCTAAAACTAAGCCAGTCAGATAAATCAGATTTATGACGTTTATCGGTCGTAATAACTATCTGTAGAATAAAACAATGCAAATAGATTTTAAAGTAATGGCAATGAAATGGGAATTAATGAAACAGAAAAGCTCAAGGCCGCCGAAAACGATTCTGGAACGTCAAATTTGTCAAATAATTTGAACCCATTACTGTGAACACAGCACTTTTCCCGCGATTACTTTAAAACTGCAAAAATGCCCAAACAGATAATGGGATCATATTGTCTGAAAACGTCGCGACACAGAAGTTAGTGGCAAATATGTTCCAGGAACGACACAAAGGACTATCTTGAAGGACTGAAATGCATCTTTTAAACATTTATGATGCTTTAGAACACAATTCCGGTAGAACGTATTCAATGATGCGCATAGAGCATTTGGAATAAGCTGATGGACTGTTTAGTCCCCGACGTTTGCCGAAACCATTATGACCTTAGGTATCTGTCTTTAATCACTGACAGTGTTTATGATATACACATTTCACTCAACTTTAATAAGAACTTAACTAATACTCCTTTGATTTATGAAATGCATACTATTAAGGGGATCGTAAACCACCCTTTCTACGTCAACATTAGTTTAGACCAAAATAGATTTCCACATTTGAGTTGTATAACGAAGAAACAACATACCATAACCGTCAAGAATATGCATTTCATGCCATTCGTCTGCTGGATAACCGAACTACTCGATATGGAAACGGACGTAAAACCTATCTAACACACATTTTATTTCCTTTAACAATTTTGATATTTTCAAAGGAAAATAATATTCTAACGTCCTTTGTGATCTTCATCGGTTCAGAATACAATTAAAACAAACTTGGTTTAATACTTATTTTTGTGAGAACAATATCGTGCTTTCTTAAATTTCAGGTTCCGTCAAGCGACATTCGCAAACTATTTGAGTTATTACCTTGTAATTTTGAATTGGACTTCATACGTCGTAGTTGGTCCTCGATTTATGAACCAGTTTAACGGAAAGACCCGAGCAGTGTCGGATAGGAAAACATTCACGTGCAATTGATCTCCCTTTTTATTGGAAACAAGGAGCTATTAAGGATCCCCGTCCGACTGCACTAAAATTGTTACAATGCCTTTGAAGCTGTTTTTCCCCAATCCATAACTGACAGGACACCAAACCTTGCGGGACATTTTATGAAAAGAAATAAGATTAAATAAACTTACCATAACCAAGAAATGTGTTCTTCTAACTGGCAAAAAAAGAAGACCCCCNCTTGACTACAGCTTGCTATACTATCCCTTTAACTGACTGATCTATCTGGTCAAAGGAAGTGTTTTAGCAAAACTGTGCACAGTTATATCCAAAACAAAATTAAGCGGAGGTTACCGAATAAACGAAAAAGTACAGTACAGTGGGACAGGGATCTTTAAGATGCATGCAACACTCATTCGTTTACATCCGCTGCATTTAATCAGCTGATTGAAGTCTAAAACAATGTCTTATTATTTTAGCAATTGTAACGATTTTGATATCATACGTGTTACATTTGAAAGTTTCAATATTTCTTTGATCCTGAAAAAGCAACCTAAATGCCTATGTGCTTTAAATACTGAAAGAAGTTTAGAAATCATTGGAAATAATTTTTGGGAATATCAAAATAACAACATGACCTAGTTGTAGGATGAATAAGCCTTTAGGTATGATTCATATGTATAAATCATAAAAGTTCCCTAATACAAATCACTAGGATTAAAAATAGACATCCATGATATGCCCGCGTTGCTGTTCATACGAGGTGATCTTTTGTCATTGATTGGAAAAATGAGATTAATTTCTGGATTTTTTGTCAACTTAGGGCCAGACAGTCTTGGCACTAAGCTTACTTGATAACCAGGATGAGAGATCTTTGTTTGACCAGGCAAATACAGTCGTTAGCGCTCTTCCATCTTATGACAATCCGACATAATTCACTTAGGCTGAATGTTTGTCTTGCTCATCCATTATGTGTCTCTGCCGCTACATCGTGATTGGATCTTCGTTAATCCAGAGCTTAGTGTCTGTTTATGGGGCTTTAATGTTCAATTAGGGACATTTTGACGGCTAAAATAAGTAATATCATGTTGTGTCATCATTCAACGCAATACAAATATACTTAATTGGAGTTCTGCAAATGTTCGTAATAGTACATAGCTGAAATGTTTGATCGTGCAACAAAGACCGTTAAGAAAGCAATTATATAGATTAAAACACATTTAATAGGATTGTGCTTTCTTGATTGAACGTAAGATCAAACTTTTCCTTTCATGAAGCAAAAACGTTGGAAGAAATTGTCTGTCATAACAAACATTCTTGGGGGCGGTAATATGAGTATATGTGACTAATTGCTAGTTATTATTAAGTAATTATCAAGTCCCTTCAGTGTATCATGTCAAAAAGTATCGATTATATTTTTTCTCATTTAGTCATGTCGACAAAAAAATCGGTTTTCAATGCATAGGTACTATTTCTTACAGAGTTACGGGGATCCATGGCTCTCTATATACCCCTTCCTCCGTTGAGCCCAGGTAAAACCTTAAAACCTTTGGATTTGAAAGTAGACCTGTCCTCATAAAACACAAAATATGTTTTGCTGATAAATTACAAACTGGAATGTATTACTCATTTTACTGCAATATGGGAGAGAATAAATGTCAATAGAGTAATACAATACCTGAACTTATCTTGAGTTTATGTTAAATAAGCAACACAGGCGTATTTTATGTCTAGCTTGTCATGTTACATAAAGCGGAAGGTGAATTCAAATAAGCTATATATCTGTTTATCAAATGAAAATAAGACAACATGTGTTGAACAACACATTTCCTAACAAGGAATTTTGATGTAAGATAATGAGTATATATGAGGACCATCTATGCTGATGCATTGCACTTTGCCAATACACGATGTCAATTACGCCCGCAATTAGAATCATTTATCCATTCTTCAGATATAACAAAACTATTTAGACATTTTGACTTTCGGTTTTTCCGATGCACATTCCTTAAACATTAACATTGCAGAACTTTCACATACTGGACATATATCTCTTTATTAGTTGAAAGTTTTACATCCTGTTTTTATGTCAAGAAGTTATGGGTAGAATTTCATATCAAACTGATAATGGGTAAATCG